TATTTTAATTTTATTTTTATTTTCTTTTTTGAAAATTTCGAGACCAACAAGTCAGAATAATTTTCGAAATTTTATTTCGAAGTCAACACTTCAGAATAATTTTCGAAATTTTATTTCGAAATCAGCAATTCATTTTGGAAATCCTTTAATTCCCTTAATCCCATAGGCAATATACAGAAGCACCTCCGAAAATAGGTGTGTGGCGATGAGGAATTTACAAAAAAAAATATCTAAAACCCAAAAACCCAAAAAAAAATTTATTATTCTTATAGCAGAATACATAGGTAATGATCGAAAGAGTAGTAAAAATTTAGATTTTTGTTATAATGGCGGTTTCCATGGATAAGCTTATTTTTTGTTAAAAAAAATTTACACCTCAGAGTGACTGCTTAAAAAATCGAAGTTATTAACAAAAATATTATTATTATCAAATATATCTATGAAGGTCGTGTAAAAACGAGCTATCGATCCATCCATTTCAGAGAAACTTTCCTCGCCGACTCTGAAAACAGTCCCGACAGCGACAAAGCTCGAAATATTGCATATTTTTTAATAAACGTTGCATAGCTAACTCCCAGTGTAAACACTCTGCAATAAAAAACTTTTAGAAAACTATTTTATGTTTGTGAAATTTTTCCCACCGCCTGCTAACCATCCAAACTTCATACATATGTACATACTCAAATGTCAAGCCCACATATTTGTGGCGCAAATGAGCCACTTCTTATGCGACGCAACAATTTAAGTAAAAATTGAAATTTAATTAAAGCCTCAGAGTCATTAACGACAGCTAGCCGCACCAAAAACCGCAGAGCAGCGGCCATAAATGAGTAAATGAATTACAAATAAATTTTATGTTAGGCGTTGCCAGGCGAAAACTTAAATAACAATTAAATTAAATATGAAAAGAGACGAAAAAAAGAGAAACACAAATTTAAAAAAAAACCAAAAACACAAACAACAAAAAAATAAATAAAAGGAAGAATTAAAGAAAATTAAAAAAAAAAAAAAAACAGAAAATTGCGAAAAGGTGGCGAAATGCAGTAAAAAGCAAACGAGTAAAAGCCAAAGGAAGCAGAAAGCAACAAATGCCATTACATTTAAATATTTTATTTGTATCTCTAAACGTATAGCAGTGTATGTGTGTGTGAACGGCGCTCGTGTGCCGAGCAAGTTTTACTCGCATGCATTTTCGTGTGCTTTTTATGCACTCCTGCGGTGCTTTATGGCTGTCAAAAGCTTTCGAGTCAACTATCTGCATGAGTGTGTGTATGTGTGTGTGCATGCTATTTGCACTCACTGTATACTTGTCTGGCATTCATAGATGAAACGTTATTGTTGCTTATACATATTATCATTTTGCTTGCAGCAACGCAAGAGACATTAATGCGAAAGCCAACAAATAAAGCCAATATTTTTATGATCTGTTATTAGCAATTGTAAATTATTGCAAGAGTACTAAAAAAAATCACCAGCCTGTGTCTGCTGTTGGTAATGCGTCTGTTGTTGTTTGTTGCATGTGGACGCAGAAAGTTACTAAGAAGGGCTAAGAAGGGCGAGAAAGGTGTTTAAGTAGGAAAATGTGTGCTTACGTAAAAGATAGTATTTCTGTAAGAATGTAATATGTATATTTATACACATATACACTTACATACGTGCAACTCAAATATGCACAAATCAGGTGTGAATAATTTTTTTATCGTACGAAAACTAAATTTCTCTAACAAACTGACGACTGCCAGACACATTTGCGGTAAATTATTGGAGAAAAATTCAAAATTAGCAAAAACGTCAACTTAGGTTACAAAGTAGCTATAATACCCTTCATAAATAGGAAATTTTTTCATACAAGTACTTAATTTTGTTCGTTTAGTTTGTATGGCAGCTATATGCTATAGCAGTCCGATCTGAAAAATTTGTTCAGGGTTCATAGCTATGCTTTAGATAATTATCCATACCAAATTTCGTTACAATATCTCATCAAATGAAAATGTTTTCCATACAAGCACTTGATTCCGATTGGTCAGTTTGTATGACAACAATATGCTATAGTGCTCCGATAGCGGCGATTCTGACATATAAGCAGCTTATTGGGTGGAAATGGATGTGTACAAAATTTCAGATCAATAGCTCAAAAACTTCGCTTATTTACAGACAGGCGGACAAATAACACGGCTAAATTGACTCAATCCCTTACACAGATCAGTTATACACTTCATACTTTATAGGGTCGTCTCCGACCTTTCTTACTCAGTGGCAAACTTAATATACCCCGTTGAGGGTATAAAAATAACCAGACTGCGAGTAATGGTTACACATTGCAAATACCTGGCTGCGGCCACCCTGACGTTCACGCATGAAAATATATCCATACTTATACACTTATATCTATGTAGGTGTGTGCAGTTAAAGCGAAGCTTAAAATTCAAAAATTTTAATTATAAACTACGCCAGCCACTTTGTTGCATGCCACAATGTGTGTAAGTCATTTTAAGCGAGACATAACTTATTCTATAATTTGTTATTGCCGCTGCTGCTGCTCCTGCTGACGACTGACTGACGGTTGTTGGACTGCTGGCTGCACGTCCTCTCACGGCTAGACATTCAGTTAGTTAGATGGTTAGTTATTTAGCCAGTTAGCAAGAAGCCACAAATGTCTTTTGTGGCAATAAAGAAAAGGCCAAATAAAAAGTTTAAAATAAAATAGAAAATAAATAAAATGCAATAGAAATCGCTGCAGCAAAGCTTTATTTTTGCATGTATATTTGCGGTTGCAAGCATTTGTGGCATGCAAATGCATAATGGTTTTTCTTATTGCTATTGTTGTTGTGGAAAAGGGCGCAACCGAACGTTTGCCACATAAAATATGTCATCAACTCGACATTAATGCAACAACACGGGCCAACAAGACGCTGTGCTCTTTGCGGCCATAACACATACTCACACAAATATACTTATACATATACATATGTATGTACTGGCATAGGTATTGGTATTTGTTAGGTTTTGGCTCGTCTGTCTGTGTTTTCCACACATTTATTTGCGCGAAAATTCAGACACACGCGTTGCAAATCTTTAATGCCCGTTGATTGCACCTTTGTGGAAAACAACAAAACCCCAGAAACGTTGCCTTTCTTAACACTTTGAATATTTCTTAAGTCTTTTACAACGAATTCAGCTAGTAAATGAGCAAAAAGTTCGCTTGCCTTAGCTTATTGGCGAGATTTATTCGGAAAACTGTCATTTATGTACTTCGCCAGGAAGGCTCAAATAAATCTAATCCTGAGCACTGCCGGCCCTTTTTCCTAAGCTAAAACTTAAAAAATTTTTTTTCTCCAAAAAGTTCGCTCTCTTATCTCTCATCCGAGGCTATTTTAGGGTAGTAGCTCACTTGCATACATTTTTTCTTTATCTCTACTTTAAATGTAAGATGATCATCATTCGGTTTACCGACTGTTTCAGCATACTATTCTTATGGCTTTGTTACACGTAACGAGTACAATGGCGAGACAGTATTCTGGCCGAGCATGATACTCGGTCGAGAGAGTTGCGTTGGCGAGTAGAGGTTTACACGTATTTTGTTCATCTAGTTAGACAGTGAAGTTTTTCAAAGCTTTATTTACAATATTTGGTAGAAAAAGAAAGAGTTTTTAATGAAGTTCTACCGCATTTCCTAAAAGAGTATTTGCCATTTCAATTCTTTCACAATGCAAAATTCAATTGAAACTAAATAAGCTACATAAAAATCGACCGAGTGGCGAGTGAAGACCGAACGCGTGTTCACATGCAACGAGCGAGTCAGTGATTTGCGCAGAGGGGGCAAAAGAGTGAAGAAAAAAGAAGCACTCGCCCTAGTAAACAAAATGTGATTCTAGTGACTCTCTCGCCACTATACTCGCCCACTGACTCGGTTCATTACTCGCCTTACTGTTTAAACGAAACGAGCACTCGGCCGAGTCACTGTCTCGCCGCTCTACTCGTTACGTGTGATCAAGGCATTGCTATACAATATGTCAAAAATGAACTAGCTGTAAAACTCGATATAACACACAAATAGAGTGAAAATAAAGGCTTGCAACATCCGTTAACTCTTACTTCGGGATCACAAAGTTTAACACATCGCAAGAAAAAATTTCGTACAAAACCCAAAAAGAACCACAACCTAAGAATCCAATATTAAATACACCTAGCCATATGATCTTCAGTTGCTTTAGCATAGAAGTATTTTTTTATGGAGAAAAACTTTCAATTGTCTTGAAAATTCTTCTTTCTCTACTTACTGTGTTCTCAATGTGAATGCGGCACTTGTTATGCTTGAGGGCAAATGTAGACCCTTAATGATTTCCTGCCACAATTTCTTGTTGATAACATCAACAAGACCGCCACGCGCTATAACCAAATTATATAGCTCATATAAGTCCAAAACGGATTTTGCCATTATCGGTAAACGATTGATGGGTGTGCCTGAAAATAAGAAGAAAGTGAATATTTTAAAGATAAAAAAAATTGGGAAAAAAATTATAAAAAAAGTGATAAATGCTTATAGATTTTTAAACTATTAGAGATAGAATTCTATTATAACGATATTCATATTTTGATAGTTATAATAACTACAGTTTATAGGAAATGATGGCATAATTTGACTTATGCAACCTCTTATATATTTATTTCATTGTAAGGAGTTTCAAATATTTCTGATATTTCAAGTTCTTAAATAGTAATTAACTGATTCTTAAAAATTGTAATGATCTTTAAAGCGTTGAAGATCAAAATAAAGTTCTTGTACGGAAAACGTTTCTATTTGATGAGATATCGTCACGAAACTTGGCATAAATAATTGCTAAAGACAGCGCTACAATCTCCGTACAGATTGTTCAGATCGAACTATTATAGCATATAGCTGTCATACAAACTGAACGAACAAAATTAAATGCTTGTATGAAAAATTTTTTTATTTGAAATAATATCTTTACAAAATTTGGCATGAATAATTGTTGAAGGCAACGCTACAATCTCCGCACAAATTGTTCAGATCGGACCACTATAGCATATAGCTGTCATGCAAACTGAACTTTTAAGATCATTAATTGTTTGGTATTTATTCAATTTTTGAAGAGTATTGAAGCTTCTGGGCCACGGAAATTAACGTTTCATCATGTTTTTTTCATAGTTCTCAAAATCGACTCCTTAAATAACCTTAAAGTGTAACAGCTTTTCATGAACTCGTTGAGAATTGCCAGCACAAGTAGCGGTGACAAAGAAAAAATTGTTACTCAAATTTGAACTTTCTCATTTATATGTATTTGTGATTGCGAATATTGAATTTCCTTAAATAAATATAATATTTGTTTACAGTTATTTCACTGATAAGTAATTAAGATAATTTTCTAAAAGCAAATATTTACACAGACTACAAATCAAACATACTTATTTACCGAAGACAAAAGTGAGAAGTGATAATGGAAAATAGAAATATGCTGTTATTTAAACGGTAAGCATACTTTGTTGTTGCAATAAAAAACAACAAATGCTATAAAAGTTTTATAGCAAAGCCCAATGCACACACATACATATGCATATATACATACTAACTATATATACTTGGATACAGTAATCGTAAATAGTATATTGTATATAGCTAATAAGTAGCGTAGCTAATGGCAAGTACAAACAAAAGCAACAACAATAACAGCAGCAACACATGAATGAAAAAAGAAACCAATAAAAATCTCAAACAACACAAGCATACAAATGGAAAAACGATTTTTAATTGCTGGCAATCAATTTAATTACAGTTCAATTATCATCGAATGATCATACGAATAACAACAATAACAATAACAGCTATAAGTAGCCATGGCAATAGCTCAGCAATGCTCCGAATCACACAAACACTCAGCTAACAAAACTACAAGGAAATTAAAAAATAAAAACGATTTAGCGGCGAATGATCAAGTTTAAGCAAATGATCAGACGGACAAGCAGCGAATCGGACTGAATGAATAGCTGACTGACGTTAAACGAACGTCAACAGCTTTATTGCCAACACTCGAGCACAAAACTTTTGAGCATTTGAATAATATGAGCGCATACGAATCAATCCGATCGCAGCCAACGATCGGCAAGCGAGATCATCTTGATCGTGTTGATGATGATGAGGAGGATGATGCTGAGGCACAGCGGAACTTATCGCCGCGTAATTGCTGGAAACGAAAGTGTTAAATGCTCAACTAAGCAGAACAACAACAAAATCAATAAAATAGATTTATCGATAAAGCAAAAACAAAGTGGCAATCACAGACGTTTAACAGACAACAAGACAAAGGCGCGGAGAATTGTCGGCTCACAAAAATAATCAATTCAATACACACATTCAATTTGCGGCTGCTGCAATCGTTTTATAACGAGCATTATTAGGCTGAATTGTAGTTGTAGTTGGTGAAGACGACTAGGGGCGATCAAGCGTGGATGAAAGCGATCGTTCGGCGATGCAATGGTGCGTGTGCGCTGAAGTGTTGCCAACATATTGTACTAATTATGGCGCAGGCCCATTTAGTTTTCAAATAAGTAGTTAAACGTGTGAAAGGTAAATTACTTGTGCAGTGATCGCGTCGATCGTGGAAAAAAAAGAAAAACAGAATATGAACTTTTGCTGCCATGTACTTATATATACGGTTCACAGTTGCATTTTATAGCATTAATACCCTTCACAGGTGAATTTTTTATAGCATAAAGTGTATAAAAAAGTCCTAACTTGATATTGATCAATCAGTTTGTATAGCGAAAATGACGTTTGCAAAATTTCAGAACGATATCTCCAAAACTGAGGGACTTGTTCACGGACTTGGCTGTCATGCTGATCATTTATAGGCTTCGACGTTTCCTTCAAGGTGTTACAAACTTCACGGTAAACTTGATATACCTTCTTCGGGGTTTAATTAGAAAAAATAGTGATCTAAACACGTTCTGATCTTCATAATTTGCCTTCACTTCATTTGCTACACTCACCTACACCCGACAGCTATATATTTATATGATTCCAATACAGGTAAATAAACACCCACAAATGAAATGAAATTAAAAGCGATCAGTTAATGATCATAAAATTCAGTTTAATAAAAAAGCAATTTGTACATTTTCTTATACTTTTTTGCTTCAACTCAAAACATACACGATCGATTAACTTTTTTACGACTTCGCTCGCAAAGGAATCAATCAAACTACAAATGATCGACATGTTGATTGAATGAAAACGTTGTTGTGTTGCGCTATGTTGTTGTACATATTGCGTTAATGCGTAAACACGAGCGAAAAAAATGCGCCTGCAGGCGATGACGAACAGCGGCAGATCAGTGCGGATCGGTTGTGAAGTATACGAAATCAAATAAAAATTGGAAAATAATGTTGAGAAATAAAAAGTGAAAAATTACCAAATGATTGTTGCTGCGAACGCACACTAACACACACAAATACGCATACTTTGCATGCAATTAGAAGGAGCTGAAGATGCGCAGAGGCTAAACGATCGCAGTGATCGAGTGATCGTTGCAATAAAAACTGAGAAATTACCAAATGATTGAGCCTACAAACAGACAAGACAACTTGTAGCTGCATACAAGCGCATCTGCATAGCAAAGAGAAGGCGATAGAGGCGGTTAAGTGATCGCAGTGATCGTTGCACATCATTTGCCTCAGCACGCGAGCAATCAAATGAGCGAGTGCGATTTAATGATGCTTACAAAGCTGGCAACAGCAGAATTTATCAAAAAGGAGTACGCTGGTTGTTGAAAAAATTAATTGCATGCCACAGAGGTGGACAGAAAGTGCGCCAAATAAAATTTTAATGACTGCAATCTTCAAAAAAAAAAATTATAAAAGATAAAATATTTGCTGGCACACATCATTTGTCAGAAAATGTGAAACGAGAAAGAAAAAAAAATCAATAGGCTATCATTCCCTGCACAAATAAAAAGATTCCTTACACAAACGTGATTTCGATCGTTCAGTTTGTATGGCAGCTATAAGTTATTGTGGTCCGATCTAAAAAAAATGTTCCGGATATTTTACAGTTACCTTACACTTACGAAAATAATGCATACCAAATTTCCTGAAGATACCTTTTCAAATAAAATAGTTTGCCGTACAACAACTGGGTTTGGCTTGATCAGTTTGTATGACAGCTATACCGTGTAGTGGTCCGATCTGAAAATTCATACCAAATTTCCTGAAGATACCTTTTCAAATTAAAAAGGTTTGCCATACAACAACTGGGTTTTTCTTGATCAGTTTGTATGACAGCTATACCGTGTAGTGGTCGGATCTGAAAAATTTTTTCAGAGATTTTACTGTTTTCTTCAAAAATAATTCATGCCAAATTTCCTAAAGATATATCTTCAAATAAAAAAGTTTGCCATACAAAAACCTCAACTTGATCGGAAAGTTTGAATGGCAGCTATAGCATATAGTGGTCCGATATCGCCGATTCCAACAAATTAGAAGCTCTTCGGGGAGAAAAGAGCATGTATAAAATTTCATATCAAAAACTCAAAAACTGAGGAACTAAATCGCGTATATATAGACAGTCGGACCAAGCCAAATCGACTCAGCTCGTCATACGGATAATTTTTATAGAATTTCCAACGTGTCTATACGATTTTTGCAAACTTCGTGGCAAACTTAATATACCTGGTTCAGGGTATAAATATAAGATCAAATGCACAGGAATCTCGTTGGCACCGCAGCCAGCGCTAAAGATCGCTGTCGCCTCAGATCGCTCATTATATGAGGGCAAATATGCATTTTTGTGGCAAAGTGTGGCGGTTAAATATACAAAAATAACATAAATGTAATGTAGCTATAAAATTATTTAAAAATGCATTAAAAATTACGGACAAACACACACATCCACATATACATATCTACATACACATGCGAGCAGCGAGCGTGTGGAATGAGTGGCGCTCAGACAGTAGGCGACACAAAAATAATAACAACAAACAGGGGTGGGTTGTAAAGTAAGTGACAGACAAATGCGCTGACTGAGTGGCAAACACACGACAGGCAATCAAATGACAACAAAAGTGCCAACAGCATATCAAAATAGCGACAACAACAACAATAGCGACTGCAGTGAAGAAGGCAGAAGTAAGTAGCCAAAAAGTGGTAATGATGACTAACAGTATTCGGAGCCGCACTAGCAGTCGCAGGCAGTTGCATGGATGCCCATCAGCAGCCTCATTATCACTAATAACAACACAATCAGCATACATATACACACACGCGTGCATACATACATATATGTATGTAAGTATCCCTCAATTGCAGACAAGCCAACAGGAATGTAACTCCATCAGCAGTCAGTCAGTAAAAAAAAAAAAATGCTCCGACGCAGACTGCAACTATTCTTGTTGCTTTTCTCAGGTATTTACTGTGTTGTAGTTGTTTTTCTCGATTAAATTATGTCG